TCCAGATATATACACCATTGAGTTCCAAAAGAGAGGTTTGCCCCATGCACACATTTTACTTTTCATGCATCACCAGAACAAGTTTCCCACTCCAGATGACATCAAGAACATTATTTCAGCAGAAATACCGGCAGAAACGGATGATAAACAATTAAATCATTTGGTAAAGACACATATGATTCATGGTCCATGTGGGTTGGCTAACAGATCTTCCCCTTGCATGAAAAATGGTAAATGCTCTAAATTCTTTCCCAAAGATTGGCAGCCTCAAACCATTGTCGATCAAGATGGCTATCCCGTCTATAGGAGAAGGGATACTGGCATTACTATTCTGAAAAAAAGTATTGTTCTTGATAATAGGTATGTAGTTCCTTATAATGCATATCTTCTAAAGAAATATCAGGCGCACATTAATATGGAATGGTGTAACCAAGGTACTTCTGTCAAGTACTTATTCAAGTATATTAACAAAGGTTACGATAGAATAACTGCAGCGGTTGTTCGGACCGAATCAGACGGAAGTTCATTTGGTACAGATGTTGATGAAATCAAACAGTACCTTGATTGCAGGTACGTTTCCCCGAGTGAGGCGTGTTGGAGGATTTTTTCATATCCTATCCATGGTAGATCTCCTTCTGTCGAAAGGTTGTATTTTCATCTGGAAGGCGAAAATCCGGTTTACTACACTGACTATGATTTCATAGACAATGTTCTTGAAAAACCAACTGTAAAGGAATCAATGTTTACAGCTTGGATGGAGTCAAACAAAAAATACGAAGATGCAAAGACTTTAACATACACGGCGTTTCTTTCCAAGTTCGTTTACGATAAAAGGTACCGTTTATGGAGACCTCGAAAAAGAGGTCGTACGATTGGCCGGTTAATTTGGGTTCCTCCAAGCACTGGTGAGCTCTATTACCTTAGAATGATGTTGATGGTTGTCAAGGGACCGACTTGCTATGACGATATAAAAAAGGTTGGTGGAGTAGTCCGCGACAGTTTTAGAGATGCATGCTTTGAGATGGGATTTCTTAACGACGACAAAGAATATGTTGCAGCCATAAATGAGGCCAAAGATTGGGGTTCCGGTAATTTTTTGAGGAAGCTATTTGTCACGATGTTGTTGTCTGGTACTGTTAATCGACCGCGACATGTTTGGCAACAGACTTGGAAGTTGCTATCTGACGGTATTCTTCATCAACAGAGAATTGTCACTGGAATAAGAGGTACACTTAACAAATACCTAAATACTTCTGTTAAATTTCATACAATTACAAACCGTACGAAACTATTATAATGAGTTTTTCTTCTTATAATACCTTTTAAACTACTTTGGATGCAATAATTTCAATCCTTTTATACTTCCATATATATGTTACATATCATACAGTTCAAACCATACTTAAGTCTTTTGACAGGTTCTCATTGTCGTAATGTAATTTCAACTCATGTAGATAGGGTCTTAACTTAAGAATTTCAATTGTTACCAAACTGGTTCACATTATTTCCATTCAACAGCACCTTTCAATGCTGCCCTTTCAAAGAATCATAAGTTCCAGTAAGCAAGTCCTTTCAATGCTGCTATTTCATCAGTAATAAAAATATCTAATGCAATCTGATATTACTCACCACCAACACAGAACAGAATAATTCTGTGATTTATCTTTTACCTTCAACCACCTTTTGTCACAGCTACTGATCAAAAACATAACATTTTAAATGAACCCGAATGTCTGATGCTCTTGCATTATACTGAACTTTTCCATGATACTGCCATTTTAAGGTTAACGATCCTTTTGCATGTCTATCTTCATCAACACTGTGATTTCTATTGTACATAATAGTTATATTTTATTTTGGTTTGTATTTGTGTTGGAAGACATGCAATTGTCAACTGCAGAACTGACAAACCTCACATTAATTGAGATTGAGAATATGATGCAATCAAATAGAAGAAGCTTGCGTGAATTCAAAGATATGCCGTTTCCAGATTTGTATATAACGCGACATGTCGGCAATAGACTGATTTTTGATGAACGTGATTACGATGCTGATTTAGAGCGACAAAACTTCCAGAATCTATTTTCATCTCTAACAGGTATTTCCTCATTATTCAAATCATCGATGTTTTCATTAAACTACTGTTGTATTGATTCTTTTCATTTGAACGTCAAGATGAGCAACGTGCAATCTTTGAAACCATAATGGACGCCGTCAAGAAACAAAACGGAGGGGTGTTTTTTTTACATGGATACGGCGGAACCGGTAAAACGTTTATGTGGAGGACATTATCAAGTGCACTTCGTTCAGATAAAAAAATTGTTCTGGCTGTTGCTTCAAGTGGCATAGCTTCCTTATTATTTCCAGGTGGTAGAACAACCCATTCGAAGTTCAAAATTCCCATTCCAACGCTTGACAACTCTACTTGCAATGTTGACAAAGACTCTGAGCATTCACAGTTATTCGAAGCTACTGATGTCATAATATGGGACGAAGCACCCATGGCTCATAAGAATTGTTTTGAGGCCTTGGATAAGACCCTTAAGGATGTTATGAGCGATAAGGGTTTTGCAAATACAATTTTTGGTGGCAAGGTTGTTATATTTGGAGGAGATTTTCGACAGATACTTCCAGTTGTTCCAAGAGCAGGCCGTTCTGATATTGTTCATGCTTCCATTTGTTCTTCTTATGTGTGGGACTATTGCCAAGTCTTAACACTAACCAAAAACATGAGACTAAAGAATGGGAGGGACGGTACAACTTATGATGAACTTGCAGAATTCTCTAAATGGATATTAAATGTTGGCGACGGTAAAATATGTGAACCTAACGATGGATTAGCTGATATAGAAATTCCTCCAGATTTGTTAATTTCCAATTTTGAGGATCCAATAAGAGCTATAGTTGAAAGCACATACCCAAATTTGCTTGCCGACTTTCAAAATGTAGAATTTCTACAAGGAAAAGCAATACTTGCTTCAACCATTGAAGTTGTTGATAAAATTAATCATTACGTGTTAGACATGATATCGGGTAAACTATTTTTTCTTTTGATGTTTATTTTCGTGTAGATGTTTCGTTATTAAATTATTCTTGAAAAAACATTATGGATTGATTCGCGTTTTCCCATTTCTTAGGTGAGGACAAAGAGTATTTGAGTTTTGATTCGATTGATAGAACTGATTCAAGTTACACCGAAGCCTATGAATGTCTTACTCCAGAATTTCTTAGCAAGCTTAGGACTTCAGGTGTCCCAAATCACAAACTCAGATTAAAGGTTGGTACACCAATAATGCTTATGAGGAATTTGGACCAAAACGATGGTTTGTGTAACGGAACTAGACTAATTGTTACAAGGTTGGCAAATCACATTATTGAGGCAAAGATCATGTCTGGTAAGAATGTTGGTAACATCTTTTACATCCCTCGAATGCCTATGTCACCTTCCGAGTCACCGTGACCATTTAAGTTGATTAGGAGACAGTTCCCAATTATTGTGTCGTACGCAATGACAATTAATAAGTCTCAAGGCCAATCACTTGATACAGTTGGATTGTATTTGCCTACTCCTGTATTCAGTCATGGCCAGTTGTATGTAGCCATTTCAAGAGTTACAAGCAAAAGTGGTCTGAAGATCTTAATACATGATAGTATGAATGTATCAACATCTATCACTACAAATGTTGTATACAAAGAAGTTTTCCAATCTCTTTGTTGATCGGTAAGTACATAATAACAAATATTTTCTTTAATATAAATTGTTTCCGTAAATGCTGTCTAATTTTTGCATAATTTATTGTGCGGGTCAAAAAGTTGAAAACATCGTTTCCAAGCTGGTTGCGTTGTATCTGAAGACTCGTGATAGTTTCTTATTTTGAAGAGTCATCACAGTTTCTTATTTTGTTACACAATCATGATTTCAGTTTACATTTTTTAATGTTGTCAAATAAGTTTGATACACTGAATTTGGCCGAATTAGATAAACTTTTATTGAATTACATAAAAACGAATTTACTGTTACATGACAACATTAGTTCCACGTTTTATGAATTCTCGACCGGCCCCGTGCGACAGCACGGGTTATCGACTAGTTAATCTATAATAATATGAGTTAGTTTTACTTTGGTAAAAGAAAAGATATTGTTGAATCTACAATTCTCAAAATAAATGCTTCTACATTTAATTCTTAACTAATAATGAGTTAGCATTAGCCATATTAAAAAAATTGAATGAACAATAGTTTTACTAATTTGTTTAAGTTTTGTTTTTGATAGTCAGTTTTTTGTTTGTTTATTTAACATTTTTATTAATTTGTTTAAGTTTTTTTATTTATAAATAAGTCAGTTTTATTTTTTTTACTATTATTTCCGTTTTTAATTATAAGATTTTTAATTTTTTTTTGTTATTTTTATAAGATTCTGTATTAATTTTTTTTCCAACAATATCTTTAATTATAATACATATTTTTCTATAATTTATAATAAATATAATTACATACACATTAATTATTTATCTTTTTTAAAAATAAAGTTGTAAAATTATATAAAATAATTAATAAATTAATTAGACTTTCTTAATTGTCACTTACGGACTGAGATTTTATATTTGATGACAGGGGTAGTATATTGTTAAAATATTTGGTCTGAAGTTCCCTGCCACAAGATATTTCTTATTTCATTTCCTTTGTTTTATTCTCCCAACCAGCTTCTTCTTTTATGCTCTTTGCCCGTACAATCAATTATCAATTAATTAATTTATACGCCTATTTTACAGTTACGCCACGTGTTCACTTTATCGCACTTTCCCATCAATCCATCTCTACCGATAGCAATTCATGATTTCTCGGTTCGTTTCTTAATCTGTTATAACCGTTTTTTCACCTCATGATCATCAATTGAAGTAACTGAATTTGAAATTGATGAAATAATTGATCGATTCTTAACCCTAGCTACCTTAGATTTCTTGCTAGCATAAAGAAGAAGAAAAAGGAAGGATTCACCATGTCTTCCCCAGGAGTGCAGTTACACATCCAACGACACCATGTACGTTTACTTGTTAAGATTATGTGGATTGTTCATTGACCTATAGAACACCGGCATTTTAGGTTTGGAGGCGTTGTGGTTAGGTTTGATTGGTTTTATTTTCGTTAGTGTTAGTGTTGTGTCTGGTGTATGTGTTGTTGATTTAGAGTAAGATGGATTAGTGTATTAGGAATTAACTATTTGGCATCTGCAGGTGGTGATGGATAATGGTATTGTCCAAGTTACATTATCAAAACCAGATGGAATTGTCACTGGAATACGATATAATGGTGTTGACAATTTGCTTGAAGTTCTCAATAAGGAGACTAATAGAGGGTATGTATTGTGGTTCAATATTCTAGAGATTGATTGGCGTCGTTTCTCTTTGTCTCTGACTCCTAAAACACACACATATCTCTTTTTTGGTATTAGCTGAATAGAGGATCCATGGTTTTAAATTGCGGTTGTGGTCGCGGATGCAGTCGTGGGTGTTGCAATTGCAGTTGCTGCGATGCACATTGTAGCCGTTGCAGGCTTGCAGCGTGAATTTTGATTGGGAGATGTTTGAAGTACACCATTGAAAAACACTTAATGTTAAGATTTTTCTTGCAACTTAAGTAAATTGAAATTTGGGATTATGAAGTTTTGAGTTTCGATGAAAACACTTGAAGAAACATTGACGAAGTTGTCTGATGCGGTTCCTAATGCAGCCAGATGGCAGATGCGTGATTTTAAATCACTCTAATTGTAGTCCGATGCGGTTGTGGAGACTACCACATCAACAATATTGTGACTGCAACTACGGTTGCAGACAACAATTTAAAACCATGAGAGTATCCACTGTTTTGAAAATGTAATGCTTAAATGAAGTAGTAGGTAATCCACAATTCAAACTGATAGGTGAGTCATTCACAATTTTTTTCCATGGTACAAATGCAAAGATGTACACATATGATGAATTTGGTTGAAAAATCAATTTTGTTTTGCTATGTGGTGAATGGTGTATTTACATCTAGTTTAGGAAACAAAGAAATTACTATTTATTTACTGATTGTGTATAAATCGAGGGAGATACCCCTTTTTAGACAGAATCTTGATTTTATCTTTCAATTGAATGTGTAGGTATTGGGATCTTGTTTGGAGTGCACCAGGAGTCAAAGGGGGCTTTGATGTGTATGCCAATACTATTTTATTTTGTTACAGTATGAACGGGTCTTTTGTTATATTTACGCCATGTCAATTAGAGTTTACAATTAAAATGGGAGTGAGTGGTTTTTATCTCACACCTGAATATAAAATATAACCAGCTGTCAAATGTGAATTCAAGTTATTGTGATTCAGGATTAAAGGAACATGTTTCGAAGTTATAGTTCAAAACGAGGATCAAGTGGAGGTATCATTCAAAAGAATGTGGGATCATTCTCTTGAGGGAAAGTATGTCCCCTTAAATATTGACAAAAGGTAATTGTTCAAATTTTTTGTATCCTTTTGAAATGATAACTATTGGATTAATATTTGTAAATGGTCCATTTCAGATTCATTTTGCTCCGTGGTTCATCGGGCTTCTACTCTTATGGAATTTATGAGCACTTACACGGATGGCCAGATTTTGATCTAACTGAAACGAGGATCACTTTCAAGCTTAGAAAAGACAAGTAATCAATTTTCTTAAAAATATTGCAATTCCAATTTCCAGTTATAACTTACTTCACAAAGCTAGAGATAAAAGTAACATATGCATTCTTCTTCTGGATCTTTGGGAATGTTACATTGAAAACAATTGTGGAGAGGGTTGCAGTAATTTTTTGCTTTTGAATATTCATCCAATTTAACAACCAAGTTTATAGGTTTCAGTACATGGCTATGGCTGACAATAGGCAAAGGATTATGCCTTTTCCAGAAGATCGGATGCCAGGAAGATGCCAACACTTAGCCTACCAAGAAGCTGTTCTACTAGTCAATCCTAAGGATCCACAATTGAAAGGGGAGGTATTGGATGCAAATACATTCCCATAGTAGTCTATTTCTAGGTCTTATATACATGCATGCTTGATTTTACATTTGAAAACGTGTATGATTTGACACCAAATTCATTCACATACATAATGGTTCATGGCTTAACTTGTCCCTAATCCCTACTTACATGAATGACTACAATAGCAGTGGCAAGGTGTTCATGGCTGCAATGACTATGGAACAGAGAAAGTAGTGAAACTGTGTGTAAAGGGTGTCAAAATCTTTTTCAAAAGGGTAGACAGATTAGGGTGAATATGAATGTCTGGTCATTAGAGTGTGAGTATGTTTCTTAAGTAGCATCATGGTGTGTTGTCCATTTGCATGAGTGTATTCGATATCTGCACGATCATGTTCAAAACTAATGTCGAAACATGCTAAATTGCATGGGCATGTTGTGAGCACAACCATGAAGTCCACAAATTCGTCTCTTTTGTCCACCTTGACCATCTTGGGGCCAAGAAGGGTGAAATTAGTCCCTGCTCTAAAAACTCCAAAAAGATGACTCCTAGATTCGTTGCAGCCAAGTTTTTTCAAGCTCACATCAGCCGTTGGCCAATCAATTCAGCAATAAATAAGGAGAAAGGATGAAATTCATGATTAAATATACTTCGAAACGAAACAAAAATGCATCTTAGTTTCTCCTTAGATATAGACGCAGAATGAAAGTTTATCAACTATTTTCCATTTTAATATCCTCTTTCTGTGCATGAAGTCTTCTGTTATGTTCTTATTTGGTTGCAGGTGGATGACAAGTATCAATATTCATGTAAAAATATAGACAATAAAGTCCATGGGTGGATATCTTTCAATCCACCTGTAGGATTCTGGCAGATCACACCTAGTGATGAGTTTCGTTCTGGTGGACCCTTCAAGCAGAACTTGACCTCTCATGTAGGACCCACCACACTGGCCGTAAGTGAATGAACATAGACCATGATGATAGATTTCCTACATGGCTATTACAAGTTGAGCACCTTTTACCGTATAATTACCTCTAAAGTTATAACATCACATGTATATTTGGCCTCATCAGATGTTTTTTAGTGGTCACTATGCTGGACAAGATTTGATACCCAAATGGAGAGGTGGTGAACCATGGAAGAAAGTTTTTGGTCCTGTATATATTTATCTCAATTCTGGACCAACCGGTGGTGACCCGCTCGGGCTATGGGAGGATGCAAAAATAAAGGTATGCTCAATGCACATGCATCCTTTGTACTTTTCTTGCTTGAATGTTGATTGTATAGTACAGTTGGTTGCAGTATGTTTTAAGATAACGACTAATGTGAACTGATACTCAGATGGCGACCGAAGTTCAAAGCTGGCCATATTTATTCCCCGCTTCAGAGGATTTTTTAAAACCAGATCAACGGGGCAATGTTAATGGCAGATTACTTGTATTAGACAGGTAAGCAGGCATGATTTTTCCTAGTTTGTTCTTGAGGTTTTAATTTTGCATTGTTGGATGAGTATCTTATATTCTTCACATAATGTGTTAATGTAAACAACTTGTTGATACTTATAAATCAACAATTTTTGTATAAAAAAAAGCTTATTTACCTGTTACTGTTGTTAGTGTATTATATGGATACAAGCACAGTTTTCCTACTTATGTTGCAGTTCATGTTTAGTGCTAACTACTGCAAAATTTTTTGGAATGCATAAATGTCATTAATTGAATTTATTTAGTGAAATAATTTAATTATTTTTAGGTACATCAGCACTGACTTAATACCAGCAAATGGTGCTTATGTTGGCCTGGCTCCACCGGGAGATGCAGGATCATGGCAAAGAGAATGCAAGGTGTTCTTGCTTCCCTTGTTGAAACCTAGTATTTTAGTTTCATGAGCTATACTTTTGTAGTTTGTGCTAATCTGTCATTTTCCCTCTCCATTTTGGGACGGGCCTATTAAACTTCTCTTTGCTCTATTGTATGGGCTATGTTAGCAGCAGCTATTCCTTACAGTTACAGACTTAGTCTTTATTTGACAATATGGTCTGTTTGTTATTTAGTAATTGAAAACAGATAATAGGTTAAGCTTCAGGCCAACAATGTAATAGTCTCACTCTTCACAGATTAATTAGTCCATGTAAACATAATCAACATTATAATGTTTTTCTCTTCTCTTGGAAAACATAAATTAAGTGAATCATGGCAGTAATAAGAATGCTTTTGTGTGCGCCCAAATAAATTCCCTTTCTACTCCTGTCAGGACTATCAATTCTGGACCAGAGCAGATGTGAATGGATTTTTTACGATTAGGAATGTACTTCCTGGTGACTACAACCTTTTTGCCTCGGTACCTGGTTTTGTTGGAGACTACAAATTCGGTGATTTTGTGAAGATAACCTCAGGTTCATTAGCTTGGTCAAAGTTGAAATCATTTGCCATCATGAAAAACAAATTACATGCTTACTGAACTTGCAACACAGGTTCTTACATTGAAATGGGAGAACTTGTATATGAACCTCCAAGGGATGGCCCCACATTGTGGGAAATAGGTATTCCTGATAGATCCGCCGCAGAATTTTACGTTCCTGATCCCAATCCACAATACATTAATAAGCTTTTTATAAACCATCCCGACAGGTTAGATCTTATTAAAAGTTCATTTCTTCTGTACACACACACACACACACACCCCGATATTGCTACTCAGGATTTTGCTTAATTTTGAGTCTATGTTACATATTATAACACAAAAAAAACTTTGAAATCATAATCCTTCTGTGCATTTATTCTGTTTGCATATGATGAAAATATTTCTTTGATATGTCAGATCCTGTTTTTAGATCTTCCGGTTTTTCACAACTTGTAGGTTCAGGCAGTATGGATTGTGGGACAGATATTCAGAATTATATCCTGATGCGGATTTGGTTTACACAATTGGTGTTAGTGACTATAGGAAGGATTGGTTTTATGCTCATGTTCCCAGGTCCGGTTCTTGGAATATTGATTATTTGTATAACATGGCTCGGGACTATAGTGCTTACTTCATCTTAAATAGTTGCATTTTTTTGAGTTAAAGTTTATATGTTTAGCTTTTCATTTTCCAAGCTTATATAACTGCAGAAAAAGAGAGGATAACAATCATGTAGGAACAACTTGGCAAATCAAGTTTGAACTCAGTGGTATTAATCAAGGAACTACATATAAACTGAGAGTTGCAATTGCATCTGCAACATTAGCTGAATTGCAGGTAAACACTCCTCACACATGTGAATGTTGGATTAAAATCGGACGGTCTAAATTTCAGGTTTGATATTTTAGATTTAAAAAAAATTGCTTAAAATCTAGACCAGCCTACTTAATCAAAAGCCGTTGTTGCCTGTTGGATTAACATGGGGATATTTCAATTTTTAAAATGTTGTCTAACCTGTATATGTTGTCTGTGAAGGTTCGAGTCAATGATCCCAATGCAGGGCGTCCCGTATTTACCACTGGATTAATAGGAAGGGAGAACTCAATTGCAAGACTCGGAAGTCATGGACTTTATTGGCTGTACCATGTGAACATACCAAGTTCTCTTCTTGTTGATGGCTCAAATACTATATATTTTACACAGCCAAGATGCACCAGTCCTTTCCAGGGTTTGATGTATGACTATATTCGTTTGGAAGGACCTCCTTGTTCTTAAGAAGTAATATAACGCAGCCTTGGGAAATAAACGATACACAATACTACTGCCTTTTCATTATGTTAGAATGTATTTGTTTTTTTTAAAAAGTGAAACAATGAGATCTTTTTGTTTATGAATTGATAGGCCACCAGTTAAGCATGTGTATAAGAGAGGAAGGGTAAGAAGGGAAATGTGAATGAAATGGCACTAGTTCTAGAAGGACAGCTGGAAGGGAGAGAAACTGAAATAGGTGAGCAGGAGGCAAGAATAACAGAATGTACAGATGGCAAGCCAGGATTGGAGGATCATGATTGGTTTGCAAAGGAGAATCTAATAAATAAGGGGAAAGAGAAGAAAGTGGTAGGCAATACTTAGTAGGAATTGAGGACTGAATGTGAGTTGTTTTCACATCAGTAGGGTGCTCTCTAGTGATCGAATTTTATCTGTCAGTACTATTTTCCATTTCCTTCAAGAAGATTATTCTTCCTCCATTGTATTGCTTATATTCTATAATCAATATACTACTATTCCATCCATATTACTGTTGTTGTCTGTTTGAGTGTTTAAACTCATCATGAACATTGTATACATGTTTATGTTAGACTAGTTCATCCATCATTATTCATGAAACAGGCAGATTGAACATTAGTTTTGTGCGCACCTTTTTGAATAATGAGTGCTTCATCTATATAACAACACTTGGTATTTGAACCTAAGCGGGGTATTAAAATATTCACATACCATATAATACTTACAATTTTATGATACATTTTAAATTTTGCTGGTATTAGTATATGAATGATATCTTTGATAGTATTAGACTTTTATGATATCACATATTATTGGAGAATTTTCAAAATGTATACACTAGAAAACTTATAAAATAATTGATGAATTTCTAAAATATGCATTTGGAAATTTATATTTTATCAGTTGTTAAGATATAATATAAATAGACTAATTGTTGAATTGATTGTGACAGAATGGAAATGTATATCGATGAGATTCAAACTCGCAACCTTTAAATAAGAAAGACATATAGTCATATGTGATTATCATTGAATCATTACAACCTATGTTATACCTCTTGAGTGCTGAAAGTAATATCACTTCATATATCATTATTTCAAATAATTGCATTCCTATGTCAGTTGTTATTGTTATTAGTTTCTCTATAAATAAAAACTTTTTTGAAGCATTAAGATGTTCCAAACTTTGAAGTTTGAAAGTTTTGGGAACCTATTTGTATTTTCGTCAACCCTTCTAAGGGCATTAGTCGATCCTCCATGAGTTATTCTCTGAGATTCAAATTCACAAAGTTGATATTGTGGGAGTTTGGCTTTTGAAAGATTGATGCTGCCTTTTTTCTTGACCTTTAGACTATCTCGATAGTAGTTCCGAGCTATTTCTTGATCTCCCTTTATTACTCATAACCGACCATTATCTAAGTACTTGTTGGCTCCTAAATTCGACACCTTTGTTTTGATTGATGTCAGCCATTAAAGCTGAAGGATGTCTTCGACTGGTTAAGTCTGTCGAAATGCCCGTCGAAAGATGGCAAAGTACTTAGGAGATTTCTTCCAAGAAAGAAGGCTGGTTGCCTTCGACGTCGAAGGAGTTTCTCGTCGAAGATGTCTCTTGACGAAAGTGTTCGATGATTCAGAGTGGAGCAGTTTGAAATTCAAGCGTTTGGAGGGAAAACGGTTTCCAGCAGTTACTACGTGCAAACGTGCAAGGATCTGGAGCGTCGAGCATGGAGAACGTGCCAAGTGGATTGATCTCGAAGCAGTGTAACTGCCCGACGGTTACTTGGGATGTTTTAGTATAAATAGGAGTAGACATGTAGTTTCTCGGGTGTGTTCACAATTCTATACAAAGTTACTCATATAGATTCGAGTACCCAGCGTGTGAGAAAGAATTGTTGAGAAATGTATGTGTGAAACACCAATTTTATCAATTAAAGTCATTTACTTTTCCAGAAATTTACTTGCTTTCTCCTTTACATTCTTGTCGAACCTTTTACTTTAAAGCCTTGTTTATTTTACCAAGTCTTTCCTTTATGCAATTCATTTAAAGCCAATTTATTTAAAGCCTTATCCAATTCAATCAAACTTCAAAATCAACCTATGTCCTAGGATCAATCTGATCGATCCTGCGAGTAACCAAATAAGTAACCATTTGGAGGATCAGCGGTTGTTTACCAAAACCCAAGGTAAACAAATTGGCACGCCCAGTGGGACAGTGTGTTGATTGTTGAAAATAATCTCATCTTTTCGAGTTGTATGTTATTGAGAAGTGGTAGAAGATACACTAACGATAACAATACTGCCAGAAGGAGGGAAGAGATGGCGAATCCGCCAAACAATAACGAAATCCCACAAACGAGTGTGGGAGCAACGGTTAGTATGACCGTAAGTGAAGCGACAAACGTTGGTTCGACACCAGCAGTGTCGGTCACAACCACGGGGCCAATACCTTCGTTAACAGGCCCCAGGATACCTTTGGGAACTCCCCCACCAAGGGGAAATTTAGGCACAAGGCCTTTGGTTCCCCCAGGATTTATTCCATTCTACGGTATGCCAACTTCTGAAGTGGCAAGCCTGACGAATGCTGCGTCCACTTTTTCAGACCCTTTCGTGAGTGCCTCTTTGCCACTCCAAGGCTCTGGAGTAGGCATGGCGAATAGAAATAGGACCCAACTCTTAGGAGGGACGTCCCAAGTAGCCCATGGCCTTACAAATGCCTCGACAACAGTCTTGAGGCAACAGATGGACGAAAGCAACCATGATATGGTGCAAATGTTGGCACAAACTTTGAGTACAGTGCTAAACCCTCTAATACAAAACACTACTCAATCGAATCAGCAAGTAACAGCGCAAATGACGCGTTTGGCTGACTTCTTTGGAGTACCCCAACCTATTCGACAGCCCCAAAGGGCGCAAATAAGGGGAAATCAGGGGATATTTTTAGAGGAAGAAACCACCATTAACCAGGCTCAACAGCCTGTCGAAGAAAACCTTAGGGCACGATTAGAACCACCTGTCGAAGAACCTAGGGTAATAGCCCCAGAGGTAAGGTTAGTTAACAGAAACCAAAATGCTGACGAAGTGGTTCAGCATATCCAATACCAAAACATGGGTTTGGAAAACAATCTGGCAACCATGATCGAACGGATCATGACCCAGAATGGGATGAACATGGGCTTTCGAAGGCCCAACTTTACGTCTCCATTGTCAGAATACGTGTTACAAACGGACTTACCTCCTAGATGCAAAGTCCCCAAATTTACCAAGTTCTCTGGGGACACAACAGAATCTACTGTCGAGCATGTGGCGAGATATTTGATCGAAGCAGGAGACATTTTGAATAACAAAAACTTAAGGATCAAATACTTCCCAAGTTCTTTAACCAAGAACGCGTTTACTTGGTTTACAACTCTCCCCCCCAATTCGATCCATCATTGGACCCAGTTGGAAAGATTGTTCCATGAACAATTCTACATGGGGCAGACCAAGATAAGCCTGAAAGAACTGGCCAGTGTGAAGAGACGTTTCACCGAACCTATAGACGAATATCTAAATAGGTTTAGGTTGCTCAAGGCGAGATGTTTCACACAAGTGCCAGAACATGAGTTGGTCGAAATAGCCGCAGGCGGTTTAGATTATTCCATTAGGAAGAAACTAGACACCCAATACCTAAGAGACATGGCCCAATTGGCCGATAGAGTTCGACAGGTGGAACGCCTCAAAGCTGAAAAAGCTAAGGCAACGAAGACTCACAAGAGAGAGAGAATAGCATACGTTGAGATGGACGACGAAGATCTAGAATCCTTCGACGATACTTTAACTGTCGAAGAAGGAGAAGTCGATTTAGCAGAACTAAAACAAGGGCCACCATACTCTTGTAAACTGTTAGTCCCCTCAAATGGGAAAAATCCCATTGGTCCAGAAAGGACCAACGATAGGTTCCCAAAAAAGACTTATAGTTTTGACATCACAAAGTGTGATGAAATATTCGACTTGCTGGTTAAAGATGGCCAAATGATAGTACCTCCAGGGGTAAAAGTGCCTCCTCTTGATCAAAGAAAGAAGAGAGGTTTTTGCAAATATCATAATTTTTTGGGCCATAAAACTTCTCAATGTTTTCTTTTCAGGAATCTTGTGCAAGACGCTATTGAGGAAGGGAGATTAAAGTTTGCAGACAAATCCCCCATGGCTATCGACTCCAATCCACTGAAGGCTGAAGCCCACTATGCTGAACCCTCTGAGGTGAACATGATAGAGGCAACCAGGATCCAGTCGAAGAAGCCAGGAATTACCATGGTCGAAGTCTCAAAGGACCACATCAACATGCCAATCTTTGGCAGTTTTTCTGGAAATTTATCCAGGAAGACAATTGAAGCTGTCCAGAAAGCGGTCGAGAACCCGAAGTCGGAGACTGCTGAAGCACAAAAAACTGGATCAAAGCCCAGTTCCCACTTGGCCACCGTTCAAGGCCAGACGGAGAATCTGGAGATACAAATGAAGCAGTTAACTCTTGCTAACAAAGATACAATGAATATCAACATGGTCGAACTGTCTGACCCAAAAGCATCAGAAGAGGCCATAAGGCAAGAACAGGCTAATAAAACTGCTTTCCCTCGGGAAAACGAAAACTTGGCAGATTTTCTACAAAGATGCCAGAAAAAGAAATCAGAGGTGATGCTGTGTCCAAGATGCAGTTCGATCTTTGATAAAAAAGCTGCTGAGCACATTCAGGGCGTAAGAGCAGCGAATAAGAGAAGGGAGAATGCTGACCTTCGACATGATCCCAGAAGAGGGTCTAACCAAGACAAGAGGCCATTGACTTTTAGGCCTCCGACAAATGTGCCAGTAGACACTTGGTACAAAACCTCTGGCCGGAAAAGGCCAAGTGAGGAGAAATGGCATTCTTTCGATGTGCCAAGAGGTTCCTCTTTGACTCAAAAGAAAGAGCCTCAAGTTGCTGCACCTAAGGTTGCACAAGTGTCCAGCAACTAC